GCACCATTTAATTCAAATGTCCACTTAATCTTTAATATTTGGCCATTTCTTTAGGACAGAAATGCTATAGCCACTGTAATTAAAAGAATATGTGGACATTAAAACGTGTAAACTCAGAGTGAGGGTTTAAACTTTTATTTTGAAATCGCGATGAACAGTTAGCATATTGAGAAAGATAATGTTGTGTTCTCCTGTGTTTGCGTGGGTTTATAAATGATTTACCTTACAAATCTGATGAAACGGTGCACGTTGCGTTCCCAGATGAACGTTATAATAAACCCAAACTCACAACAACATGCAGAGATGGAGTTTGAGACGCTACACACATGTAACGTTAAATGATAACCGTTTGTGCGGAGCAGCGTTTACTGTGAACAGAGCTGCTCTGACACGCACGTACGTAACCTACACGCATGTAAATAATTAAAGCGCCTATATTAAACTTGCATCGCATATATTTATTTAATTGAATAGTATCGTTTGTGAATTCTTAATAGCATTCTGCTTTATTGTGATTTTTAAATGGGTTTAATATGTGGAAAGCACCACTTCCGGTATTTTGTCGATTACTCGACACGGGCAAAATGCAACTGAGGATTTTTTTAAATCGAATACTTGAATAGAATCGAGGAATCGTTGCAGCCCTACTGACAATGCGCAAATTAAAGAACACCGACGCAACAACTCATTTACATATCGACCAACGCGTCGCAAATAAATATAAATAAATAAGAAATAAAGAAGCCACAGTACGTTGAAAAGAACCGGAGGCCAAAAAATGAAGGGTTGCAAGAAGTTTTGATAGACTTGGTATTGCGTGACTTATTTCCTGAAGCAAATTAAAAATAACATGGCTTGGCAAACGATATGTTCGGATAATGTGTTCTTCTGGCATTCAAAATAAATTAATTTGTTTGGAAAAAATCCTCTCACTTCTACCACGCGCTCTCTGTTCAGTTTAACAGTTAACAGTTTAAGACATGCTTTTTTTGGGGCATTAAATAATGGCGGAAATACCAGTAATTTGACAATTTGACGAAATGTTAGTAAATCGCGTTGCGTGATTCATTTTAATACTACATTTTAGTAGGAATGCTACATTCATTTTAATAATACATTTAAAGGGAAACTCCTACAAATGCATATTCAATAAGAAAGGTTTGCGCGGGCGTAAGCTGTTAGTAAAACCGGCCCTTAAAGTGCATGAAGTACTTGAATTTGACTTTTTGAAATTTAAGTCCTGGAAACCCCTTGAAAACAGCCATATTTATTAGACAGGGTTTGTACGGGTGCTTGAAATCCTTGAAAATGCTTGAATTTTAACATAGTGTTTTAAAAGTGCTTGAATTTTGGATAAAGTGCTTGAAACCGCTTGAAATTGCAATTGCATTGGTTTTATAATACTTTGCTTTATTACTGAATAACATTAGTTCACTTTTGAACCAAAATTAATTTAGCATAAAACGAAAACCGCTCCACTCGAGTCTGCACTTGTGGCTGTAGTGTGATCCGCTGGTCTTTATTGATGGGTGTTTTATATTAATGCATCTCTGAAGTGAACCGACTGCCTTCAGAGAAGTTTCAGTGGCATTTTTGTTTCATCTCACAGACGTATAATGTCTGATAAAGTAGCGTTTGTGAGCACAGTGCTGCTTTGTGTACAGCCGAGTCAAAGGTATAAAGAATTATTTTAATTTAAAGCACACACACATCTTACTGTCTAATCTTTTTTAGATTTTTGAAAGCACATTAGCTTTTTGTTCTGAACAAAAACAGAGACGGGCTTATTGAAAATGCTAATTCATCTAGACACCGTTTTGTTATATTTCAATTTTACAAAGAACGTGCATCAATAGCCTAATAAAAGGACACCTTCTCATTTACTGTATAATGTCATCAATCTCATTTTGTTAAAAAAAAATCGTGAGAAAATCTAATTGTGAAATCAAAATCGTGAATCGAATCAAATCGTGAGTTGAGTGAATCGTTACATCCCTATTGTTCGTTCTTTTATTGCATGTGCTGTTTGGGTTTCCAATCACATGCATTTAGGAATGCATATAAAGTCTGACATTGAATCACACTGTAAGGTGAAACACCACCAGGCCATTGGCGCCCTCTGCAGGTATTTGTTATAATACATAATGTACTTACAGTGGGTACGGAAAGTATTCAGACCCCCTTAAATTTTTCACTCTTTGTTATATTGCAGCCATATGTTCATATTATGTATAGTATATTACATTGTGTTTTAACAGTGTTGTACAATAAAATCATGTGATTACTTGATTTTGATACTTTATTTGAACCAATTATTATTCCCTCATCGTTAGTTTATATACCAATATAGTCATACAAAAGCCTGTTTTTTCACGTAGGTCTATTTTTTATTACTAAAGAATATCAGATTACTCAACTGTCAAAATAATCAGATGATTACCTGATTAGCAAAATAATCATTAGTTACGACCCTAGATTAGTTAAAACATTTCAAAATACAACTGCATTGTTTTGCTTTGTGTGCTTAAAAGGAAAATATTTTGTCATTAAAAATTTCTTAAAAATAGTATTAAAATATTGTCTTGTTCTAGTGAACCAAGTATGTGTATTTTGTCTCATCTCGTGAGCTAAGTGTATTCTCACACAATTTCTATGAGCGTGATATAGCTAATCCAAGTGTATGATGAAGCTTTCATTCTTCAGGTCAATCATATATTCATGAAAAAAAATCAGTTTGAATAAGGAAAGCGATAACTTTGCCATAGTATCCTTTCAAAAGTTCAAGTTGCCACAGTCATTGCATGCTTTGCATGTGCTGCATCGTTTTGTTTTATTAGTTTATATATCATAATTGAAAGATAATAACGATATTGTTTGACAAGTGAGATCTCTGATTTTAGTCCTTAAAAACCAAAAGAAAGTCCAGGAATTCCATTTAGCAGTTTCTGTAGGAACCCTGCTCACAGCTGCGGCTCTGTCGTTCACAGGTGGTTGTGTGGTACTTATATCAGATCGCCGCTGCCGTCGCTCACATCCATAAAGCCGGCGTCCTGCACAGGTAAAGAGAGAACCACAGAAACTCTGCTTTCTCATCAGCTGATTATGAATAAAGCAGTGCAGTCGCTGTGAGTGGTGTGTGTTTGCTTTGAAGGGACATCAAAACGCTGAACATCTTCCTCACCAAAACCAACCTGATCAAGCTGGGCGACTATGGCTTGGCCAAGAAGCTGGGCTCCGAGTATTCAATGGCTGAAAGTGTGAGTGTGGCACAGTCATGCAGGTTTATCAGTATGTAAAGCATTTCTGCGCTCATATCATCGTGAGGTTTGAGGATGAATTCTGTGTGAAGGATAATATCATCATCATCGCTCATAATCACAATATAAACCCAGGATGAAGCACAGACTCTTTATCACCCTGAACAGCTCTTATTTTATTATAATGACCATCTGTCTGAACATCAGCCTGCTTATTACACTTATTTATCAAATGAATAATAAAATGGACATGAAATATTGCTTGCAGTTGTTAAAGTTTCCCAAACTGTGGTTAAAAACCTAAAAATGAATTCTCATAAAGACATTACAATTTTAATTATAAAAATAAGTACAAATATTATTTTACATTAAATTGTATTTATTTTATTTTAGTTAATTAATTGATTTATTTGTTAGGGCTTCCCATACTAGGAGTAAAGAGCTAAAACGATTCATAAAAATATTAAAATTGCACATATTAAAATAAAAAAAAATTATTTACAATATTTATTTATTTGTTTGTTTAGGGCACCCCAAACTGGAATTAAAAAGCTAAAATAAATTAAGTCATAGAAATATTTCATTTTTAAATATGAAAATGAATTAAAAAGGCATATAGAAAAAAAGTCATACAATTTTAAATTAAAATAAATCAGTAGTTATATATATATATATATATACAATAAGAGTAAAACTCTTAAAATATTTATGTAATTGCATCCTAAGTGACTTAACTGGCGTCAGAGAGCTGTGAGTGTGTTCTTAAATGATTTCAATTAAAATTAAAATACTAAAGTAAAATAAAGTAAACATTTTTTTTTTATCAGTGGGGTCTGGCTGATAAAAAAATGTTTGGGAGTTGTTTTCCCTTGAATTGTGTGATACATACAGGCATTTTTACTTTAGAGCATGTTCTTGTAATTCCTATTATTCTCAAAGTATATTAATTGTATTAATTATAATTTTTTTTTATTATTTAATGTTCCTGAATTGTGTACTGTATATACATGTGTATAAATCTCCATTATGTGTATTTTGTTGGATTGTCTTCATTACAGTCACATATATATATATATATTAACTGTGAGTGTGTTCTTAAATGATTTCAATTAAAATTAAAATACTAAAGTAAAATAAAGTAAACATTTTTTTTTTATCAGTGGGGTCTGGCTGATAAAAAAATGTTTGGGTGTTGTTTTCCCTTGAATTGTGTGATACATACAGGCATTTTTACTTTAGAGCATGTTCTTGTAATTCCTATTATTCTCAAAGTATATTAATTGTATTCATTATAATTTTTATTTATTTAATGTTCCTGCATTGTGTACTGTATATACATGTGTGTAAATCTCCATTATGTGTATTTTGTTGGATTGTCTTCATTACAGTCACATATATATATATATATATATTAACATCTCCCTCGCTTGACTTCGACCGTCACTCGTTTGTCATTTGCCTCTCGTTGAGCTGATGTGTTTTGTTCTCCAGTGTGTCGGTACGCCGTACTACATGTCTCCTGAACTGTGTCAGGGAGTGAAATACAACTTTAAATCAGACATCTGGGCCATGGGCTGTGTCTTATTTGAGCTGCTGACCCTCACCAGGACCTTTGATGCCACCGTAAGCATCTCTTCATCTCAAACATTCACAAACACTCGCTCATTAGACTGAGATCTGCTCAGCGGTGTGTGATGATGATGATGATGATGATGATGATGGGCTTTCCAGAATCCTCTGAACCTGTGTGTGAAGATCGTCCAGGGCAACTGGACCATGGAGATCAACTCGGACGCTTATACGTCTGACCTCATCAAGCTGGTGTACGAGTGTTTAGATCAGGTAACGCTGTGTTACTGCTAACTGTGCCTGTCAATCATATCTGTAATGATGTTATAATGATGCTCGTGTGTGTCGATGATCAAGGACCCTGAGAAAAGGCCGACAGCGGAGCAGGTTCTAGAGCAGCCCGTCATCTCTCGTGTGAGAGCGTGAGTGAACCCTCGAATCAAAAGACAAAAATAATTCCTGTTTTTAGGACCATTCAGAAAATTACATTTTGTATTTATTTTTAATTTAATTATTTATTTTTATGTATTTAAAGCTGCAGTCCATAACTTTTTTTGTTTAAAATAACCCGAATCAATTTTTGAGCAAGTGTTCAAAACTATCGCCTTACTTTTACTCGATTCACAGCGGTTAGTTTATAATAACGTTTTGTAATTTGAGTGGTACTGGTAGGAATCACAGGAAATTTGAGCATGCTGCCGCGTTAATGACAGAACCTAGTGATGCCTAGGGTTGCAAAAAGGAGGAAAATTGCCAGTAAATTTCGGAAATATTCCAGAAATTTTGGAAACTTTCCAGGATTTTTTTGGAATATTCCAGGGATTTTTGGAAAGTTTCCGGAAATTTTCCACCCCTTTGCAACCCTAGTGATGCGATGTAGACACAGAAGAGGAACCTAGTGATGCCTAGGGTTGCAGAAAGGAGGAAAATTGCCAGTAAATTTCAGAAATATTCCAGAAGTTTTGGAAACTTTCCAGGATTTTTTGGAATATTCCAGGGATTTTTGGAAAGTTTCCGGAAATTTTCCACCCCTTTGCAACCCTAGTGATGCGATGTAGACACAGAAGAGAAGTGGTCCAAGAACTGAGCCCTGAGGCACCCCAGTAGTTAGATGTTGTG